GCTGCCCTGCCAGCCTGGTGATGCCAGCCGCTGAAGGGGCTGAGGTGGGAATGTGCCCGGGAAGGGTCTGGGGGCAGGGCAGAGCGGTGCCAGCCTCCCCAGGAGCGCAGGGCTGTCCTGTGTGCCACCCCAGGCCGCTCCAGGTAAGTGTGAGGGTTTGGGGGTTGATGCTGAGGGTATAAAACCACCCCCAAAACATCCCCAAGAGCGTGGGGAGCTGGCAGCTGGTGGGCACTGCTCCCTTCCCAATGCCAGCCCTTTCCATCCATCCCACGGCCCCTGGAGCTGCCACCCTCGCTGTGGGTGCGTGGGGATAATCTGGTTTTCCAGCTCCGAGCTAAAATGCCGTTGCTACTAAAACAACTTAAAGTTATTCCGATTTTTCCTCTGGGGCGCCACAGAGCAGTTAGGAGGGTCCAGGCAAAATTTTGTTTGTTTGATGCAAATGTTGCTGCGTGGATTCTCTTTAACTTTGTGTTCTTTTCTGTTTCTCTCCAGTCCAGGCCTTTTAGCCCTCCCATCCACTCCTCCAGCCCTCCTCCGGTAGCACCTTTAGCCCGGGCCGAAAGTACTTCTTCCATATCTTCCACCAATTCCCTGAGCGCAGCCACCACTCCCACCGTCGGTAAACGCACACAGCACTGCTGTTCTTTCCTCTTTCCTGCGCCCTCCAGGAATTCCCGAGGCCTTTCCATTGCTAGATCATTCCCTGGGGTCGGATTCCTCAGGTTTCATCGGGCTTTGAATGCTAAAAGGGATTTGAGGGGGGTGACGCATCAGGAGGGTGATGCTGCCAGGGAAGTTTTTCTAAATGTCGTGGGAAATGGATGTTTGGTGAAAGTCAAGGGAATTGTAACAGAAAATGTGGTTCTGGGCTGTGAATTGGGGCAAAATAAGCTTTTTTTGCAGGGGATGCTTGTGCCTGGAGGGGAGTGGGGCTGGAAGCCAGACCTTGGGATCCAGGGATGTTAAATCTCTTGGAATGTTCTTAAATTCGCCTTGCCCTTAAAGCAGTACCAGAAAAGGTCTTGGAAAAGGAAGTGGCTTTTCCCAGTGCTGGGCAGAACCGAACGCTGCCGTTTCCTTTCGGAGGCGCGTCCTGGGAAAAGTGGGATTTGCCAAAACCCCGGGGCTGAGATGAGGAATGGGAATCGAGTCTGGCTGGCAGCTCCCAGCTCCAGGCGCTGGGACCCCCACGCCTCCCCTTCCATCCCCTCCGTCCCCTCTGTCCCTTCCGTCCCCTCCGTCCCCTCCGTCCCCTCCGTCCCCTGTCCTGCTGCCGCGCTCCTCCTCCTCCATCCCCGGCTGCCAGCCCCTCGCTCCTGCGGCTCCATCTCTCCCAGGATCACCTCCCTCCTTCCCTCCTTTGTCTTTTCTCCCCAACCCCCTGGAGAACCCGGCCTGGCGGCAGCTCCGTGCGCCAGCCGCGCTTTGTCCCCGCTGTCACCGCGGGCAGCGGTGGCACTGCCACCAGCCCCGCCCGGGAGGTGCTGGTGGCCGTGGCTTTGCTGGAGTCTCGACTGCGTCTCCGTCCTGTTGTCACCTCGCTCTCAGGTGTTGTGCCTGCTCCGGCTGCCGGTCACTGGGAACAATGTCACCGGGACGGCGAGCCCTGAGCGTCCCCTGTGCCACGGGCCACCGCTGGTGGCACCGGCAGTGGCCTGAGCGGTGCCAGGGGGCACAGTGGCCACAGGGACACAGGGGACAGCCAGGCTGAGGACAGGGACAGTGCCAGGAACACGGTGTCAGGGGAGGGGACAGCCAGGCTGAGGACAGGGACAGTGCCAGGGGCTGCGGGAGGCTGGGAAGGGCGATGGGAGCGAGCTGAGCTCTGCCACTTCAGCTCCCTCAGGCTCTCCGTTTGGATTTCTTTTTTTGCCTCGTATATTTTTGGGATCAAAAGCTGCTGTTTGATGATTTAGTGAGCTCCCCGTGCTGAGCAGAGGGGATGAGGTTGCTGGGCTGGGGGGAGAAGCTGGGGTCCCACACCCTCCATGGAGATTTCCTTGGAGGAGATCCAAAATTGGGGCTCTGGGGTCACCCCTGACCAGGGAGCTCCAAACAGGGCAGCCAGGAGGAGCACCCCAGATTTTGTTCCAGCTCCATGCACAGATTATGTTGAGTGGGAAGGGATCCACTGGGATCATTGATCCAACTCCTGCCCACACAGATATCCCAAATCCCATTCTGGGCATCCCTGGCAGCGCTGTCCAAACCCTCCTGCAGCTGCTCTGGCAGCATCAGGTTGTGCCCATTCCCTGGGGATCTGGGCAGTGCCAGCACCCTCTGGATGAGGAACCTTTCCTGCTGGCATCCAACCTAAACCTTGGGAAAAGGTGGATGGGGCACAGGCAGAGACAGACAGGGTTTGGGAAAGCCTCTCCTGGTCCCCACCAAGGCAAGGGCAGCCCCCAATGCTGGGTGAGCATCCAGGAAAACCCACAGCAGAGGAGGAGCAGCTTGCAATTCCCAGAAGAGGAAAAGCTGGGCTGGGAGGCGTGCAGGGATGGGCAGGTCTGGGATCAGGCACCGCTGCGGGTCCCGGGGGGCCGGGACACCCCAATGCAGCTGGGGCTGGAGTCAGTCCCCATCTCCCGTTCCCCGTGGCAAAGTCCCACGGAGTTTGTCCGGGAGCAGGGCCAGGGCTGCTCCATCCCCGTGTCCTCCGTGCTGTTCTGGTGTGCTTTCCTCGTCGGCTGCGTGTCAGTCTGGCCAATTCCTGGCACAGCGAGGAGCTCTTTGCTTCCCGTGCCGGTGCCCCTCCGTCTGTCTCCGCGTTGACGCAAGTGCGCTGCTCGGTTTCACCTGGGATCCGTGTTTTCATTCTTGCTGTGCTCTTTTTTGTTCTTTCTTGCCTTTCTTTCTTTCCTTTGCGTTTCTTCTGCTTGTGTTATCAGAGGATGATGCTTTTATTGACAAACTGCCCGCGTTTGAAAGGCGCAGTGAAACGCCGGCAGGTACTGTACTAGCAGGGGAGTTTTCCAAAGAATTCCGCCTTCGGAGCGGCACCCACCGCCCGCAGCACCTTGCATGACAGTTTCTCAGTGACTCAAAGGACTTGGAGGTGGAAGGTTGGCACCTCCCCAGTTCCAAAAGGTTCATTCAGCAGCTCCAAAAGCTGTCTGCCCCCTCCCGCCCTCGCACCCCGAGTTATTCCAGCGTTGGCGCCTTTGGGGGCTGTGAGGGGAAGGCTCCAGCTAGGATCCGCTGCTCCGTGTGCGTGTGTCCGGTTCTCTGCCAGTGTCATGTCCTGAGATGAGAGAGCAACCAGCCACGTGTCGCTGTCCCCGAGTGTCACCGTGGGGTGGCACACGGAGCAGCATCCCGCCGGGAGCGCTGAGCTCCGCGCCGGCGCGGCCCGGAGCGCGCGAGCCGACAAAACCTCTTCTACTGCGGCCAAAAAATTTTAAAAAAAAGCAAGAGCACCCCTCGGAACCGCTCACCCAGCGGGCAGAAGGACTCTTCCATCTGGGCTTCCATAGCTTTGCTCCCCGCTTTGTGTCCCCCGAGCCAGCGGCCGGGTGTCGCGCGCTGTCCCTGCACGTGTGCCCGCCCTGCAGCGCCTCGCCCCCTCCCCGTAGCGACATTGATGTCCTGCTCTGTGACTCACACTGTGTCCTTCTCTCTCCCTCTCCTGAACCTTTCCCATCCCGCTTCAACTCCTGGCCATACAGAGAATGAGCAGCCTTCCCTCGTTTGGTTTGACAGAGGAAAGTTTTATTTGACTTTCGAAGGTAAGTAGTGCAAAGCACGCCCGGTAACCGCTCGCTCCCCTCGCTCTCCCGCTCCCGGGGTTCCCTTCCAAGGCTCCATCCAACCCAGCTTTCCAGGTTCCATCCAATGCAGCTTTCCAGGCTCCATCCAACCCAGCTTTCCAGGTTCCATCCAATCCAGATTTCCAGGCTCCATCCAACCCAGCTTTCCAGGTTCCATCCAATCCAGATTTCCAGGCTCCATCCAACCCAGCTTTCCAGGCTCCATCCAATCCAGCTTTCAGGCTCCATCCAATCCAACTTTCCAGGCTCCATCCAATCCAGCTTTCCAGGCTCCATCCAACCCAGCTTTCCAGGTTCCATCCAACCCAGCTTTCAGGCTCCATCCAACCCAGCTTTCCAGGCTCCATCCAACCCAGCTTTCCAGGCTCCATCCAACCCAGCTTTCCAGGCTCCATCCAATCCAGCTTTCAGGCTCCATCCAACCCAGCTTCCCGTGTGGAATGCTATGCCTAATTAGATGACGTCGCCAGTCCGACCGGAATCGTTTTGATTTTTGATTTGTGCCGTTTGTCCCGCTGATCTCTTTTTTTGGGTTGTTTTTTTTATCCCTCGTTGATTTCGTTTTCCAAAAACAAAGAAAAAATCCCACCCAAGCAAACCAAAAGCTCAAAGGAGCGTTGGGAATATTCCCAGACGGAGGTGAAAACCAGGGAGCGGAGCCGCTTGCACTGCCGAGGAGCCTGACTCTGCCAGCCAGGGCTTCTCCCCGCTCGCTCCCGCTGTGCTGAACTCAAAAAGGGCCACGTCTGCTCCTCCTCCCCACCTCCCATCCCTCTTTTGGGCAGGAAGGGCTCCGGGGATGCGCTGGCACTGCCAGCACCACCCCGAGCTGCACCAGCGTGTGTCGTTGGGGTGCTCGGTTGGAAGTGCTGGAGGTTTTGGGGTCCCTCGTGGATGAGGAGGATGCAAGGATGGGAAAACCTCGGTTTGGGGTTGATGGCACCTTCTCCGAGTGTCACATCCCACAGAGGGGCAGCTCATCCCGCAGGCACAGAGCCAACGTTTTCCTTTGAGCAGCAGAAGGAGAAGCAGCCTGCAGCGGGGAGGGATTCCCACAAATCCCCAGGAAACACCTGGGAGTGCCGTGGTGCCTGCGGGCAGAGCTGGGGGATGGTCCCATGTGGGATTCCCAGTGCCCCCTCCAGCAAAGGACATGCCCGGGTGGCACTGCCTGGCTGGGGAATGGCCCAGGACTGGTACTGCCTGGCTGGGGAGCTCAAGACTGGCCCAGGGTGGCACTGCCTGGCTGGGGAATGGGCCAGGACTGGCCCAGGACTGGCCCAGGATGGCACTGCCTGGCTGGGGAGCTCAGGACTGGCCCAGGGTGGCACTGCCTGGCTGGGAAATGGCCCAGGACTGGCCCAGGATGGCACTGCCTGGCACAGGCTGCTTGGGACCATGGAGCAAACCCATCCTGGTGGCAGTGAAGGCTGAGCAGCAGCACAAGGCAGGGATCAAGGTGGTGACTGGGAGGTTGGGTCCTTCCTTTCCTCCTTTTTCCTTTTTCCAAGGTCCCCACTCTGACAATTCCCACTTTGAAGTCCCTGCTCTGATGGCACCTCCCAGTTCAGAGCCAGGAGGGGTCGTGCAGGAGCTGCTTCCTCCTGGTGCTCAATTTCCAGCCAAAATCCTCTTTGGGTTTCCCTTCTCAGGGGCTCCTTGGGAGCTCTGGGAAGAGCTGAGGGCAGCAGGGACAACCTTATCCCTCAGCGTGAATATTCCAGCCCCACATTCCCCCTGCTCCGTGCTTCCTCCCTGCCCCTCGCTCAGTCCAGCACCAGCCCTGCACATCTGGGGCTTTTCCTGTGCCTTGCAATCTTGACTTTGTGTTGGAATTCTTGGCTTGGTTCTGGTGGTGTGAATGGTCTGGAGCTGGGGTGGGATTCTCCTGGGAGTGCAGGAGTGTGGGGCTGCCCCAGGATCCCCCCACAGCCCAGCAGGGAGCTGTGGTGCCACTTCCACACGCCGCATTCCCTGATTTATCTCGAAATATTTCAGCCCGGCTTGAAAATAAAAACAAGATAAACCTCGTGTGCAGGGATGTGAGGGGAGATCTGCTGAGTTTGGCATCTGGAACTCAGGGCACGGAATGCCAGAAGGGAAATTGTGGTTTCTCTCTGGATTTGGGTTTGTTTCTGTTGTTTTTCTTTTTTTTTTCTTTGTTTCTGGTGGCAAGATCCAGGTGCTTGATGAATGTGGGGCAGCTTGTCCCTGTGTGGAAGGAGATGTGGTGATGCTGTCGTGTTCTGGGATCCCTGGCTAATCCACAGCTACATTTTCCACCTTTTATAGGGAAAAATAAGGCAAATTAAGCTGGTCTGCTGCTTATGGCTGGGTCCAAAGCTCCATAAAGTGGATTTATTTTTTTATCTCTGTTAGCATCAGGTCATTTGTGCAAATGAAATATTTATAAAAGTGACTTTTGAAGCAGGAGCTGAAAAGGCAGGTTTGGAGCAGAGCTGTGCCACAGCAACTAGATTTGTCTCTCAGGTTTCTGGACAATAATTGTAATGCTTATAATAGTTTATACTTTTCTTCTTTTAGTGGAAACATGAGTGTAAAAATTAACTTATTCCCTGAAGCCGTGAAGAGAAGGATTTATGGATGCACAAGGGAGGAGTGGGGGGAACCAAGACTCCGATCCCACCCACATGACTTTCAGACCATTAGAAACGAGGATGTTGTGTTGCTGCTGCTGCTCAGATGGACTCACATTCCCACATCCCAGCTGAGCCTGGGGATCCAGGAGCTCTCCCTGTCCATTCCTGAGTTTTCATCCTGGACAATCACGGATACAGATGCAGAGGGACAGAGGGAAAAGGAGAGATGAAAAAGGAGGAGGAAAGTGTGGTGCTGATGTGGGCAGACCCCTGGCCCACATCCCCCGCCCTGGCACGGGGTCCTGGCTAAGCCCAGCTGGAATTTGTGCATTTGGGAAGTCGGGATTTTCCTTCTCCAAGGAATGATGATCCCATTGCCAAACCTTGCCCTGTGCCTTCCCTACGAGACTCCTGAGGCTCCTCTGCTGGTTGGCGCCTCTGGTTCCCCCCTCCACAGCCAGATTTGGGTGGTTTTGGATCCCATCTGGTGAGGCCACACCTCGAGGGCTGTGCCCAGTTCTGGCCCCTCAGTTTGGGAAGGACTTGGAGATGCTGGACACATCCAGAGGAGGGAACGAGGCTGGAGAGGGGCTGGAGCACAAACCCTGTGAGGAAGCCCTGAGGGAGCTGGGGGTGCTCAGCCTGGAGAAAAGGAGACTCAGGGGTGACCCCAGCGCTCCCCACAGCTCCTGAAAGGTGCCCGTGCCCAGCTGGGGCTGGGCTCTGTCTGCAGGCAGCACTGACAGAACAGAGCACACAGCCTCGAGCTGTGCCAAGGGAAATACAGGCTGGAGAGCAGGAAAAAGTTCTTTACAGAAAGGTGATAAAGTTCTGCAATGGCTGCCCGGGGAGGTGGGGGAGTCCCCATCCCTGGGTGTGTTTAAAAAGCCTGGATGTGGCACTGGGTGCCAGGGGCTGGCTGAGGTGCTGGGGCTGGGTTGGACTCGATGGGCTTGGAGGTCTCTTCCAACCCAGGGATCCTGTGAATTCTGTGATTCTGTGAATTTTGTGATCCTGTGAATTCTATGATTCTCTGAATTTTGTGAATTCTGTGATTCTCTGAAGTCTGTGATTCTCTGAATTTCCAGGTGGATGCAGTGGGAATATCCCACTGCGGGACATCGGCCGTGTTTGATGCTCGGAGGGGTTGTTGCTGTGGGTGGGGAGCAAGGATTTGCTCCCAGGGGTGTCTTCGGGAAGGATTTTTAGAAAATGTGTTGTCCTGCGCGCTCCCTCGGTCGTGGGGTTTTGGGGTGTGGTATCCCACGGTTTTGGGGAGCTGCCCGTGCCCTCACTGGCACTGTGCCTGTTCTTCAGAGGGAATTCCACCAGGGAATCCCTGATGGATATGCCGGGCTCAGGAGCAGGAGGCTCTGGGCACGTTAGGATAATTAATGTGTGTGTGGCCGTGGTGAGGTGGAGCAGCAGGATCCACTCCCCCATCCCGGGCTGCAGCTGGAATCCCGGATTCCCCCTTTGGGTGTGTGACCGACAGGGACACGTCTGGCTGCATCCATTTTTACACTTTTTAGGCTGCATTAGGCATTGGAAAGGAAAATCCCTCGAGGAAAGAGCACTTAGGATTAATCCATTAACACCCGGGTGCCTCGGGGAGCTGTGAGGATTCCTCCTCCCATCCATGTACCCACACTCAAAGTGTCGCTGAAGTGACAGAAGTGCTTCCCCCGGGAGATGCTGCAAATCCCAATTCCCTGCTCCCAAACCCCGGGCAGCAGCAGAGGAAGAGGGGAAGGGATCATTTCCGAGGATGGCCCGAGCAGAAGGACTCACCAGGAACGTTTTGCTCAGCTTTGCTTCCCCCTCATCCTCTGCCTGTGGAAGTGCTGCCATTCCTGGAGCTGGCTTTGGGATTCCCGTGGCTTTGGGATTCCCGTGGCTTTGGGATTCCCGTGGCTTTGGGATTCCCGTGGCTTTGGGATACCTTCAGCTCTGGCTGGAGCTGGCGGGTGCTCGGATGCTCCGAGCAAACCCCGGGCTGGGTCTGTCCCCCTTTCCACCCTCCTGGCAGGGATGGTGATGGACTGAGGGATCCCTGGATAAGCTGCTCCTCTGGAGTCCTTTGCTGTTCCTTTTTAGCTGGTTTGGGGCAAAATAATCCTCGTGCTTCACCTGGTGTACAGGATGTGGGATTTATAAAAGGTTCCTAAATGGTTCACTGCAGGAAATAAGGAGGCTGAAGGGCGCTGCCAGGGCAGGGAATGACCTCTCCAGGATTTTTTTCATTTTTTTGGGTGTCTGTGGGATCAACACCTCGGACATCCGGGCTGATCTTTGGATACTTTCCATGGGGAAGAGGTGTGGGCTTGGCAGTGCCAACCCCTTGGTGGTGGGCACAGGACTTGTGATCCCCTAAAGGGTTTCCAGCACACCTGGAGCTCCTGGGGAGCACTTGCTGTGATGATTTCATCCTCAAACATCTTTTGGGAACAACAATTCCTGGCCAGGAAAGGGAAACCTGTGTGTGATCCCGCAGGGCTGAGTTATTTTAGAGCCTGGCAAGCATCCAAGGATGCACAGCAACGCCGAAACACGCTCTTCCCCTTTTCCAAATCATGGAACCCTCCAACGGTTTGGTTTGGAAAGAACCTTAAATCTCAGCTTGTTCCGACTTCTGCCCCAGCTGGCTCCTGTCCAGCCTGGCCTTGGCCACAGCTTCTCTCTGGAAGCTCTGGGAGCTCTCTCAACCTGCGCCAGTGCCTCTGTTTTCCCAGGTTTCTGATGATGTGCAGCTTTCCTGTGGGGCACTGAGGGTTTCAGGAGCCAGTGGGGTGTGGAGGATGCCCCGGGCATCCCCAGGGCAGCAGAGCAGAGCAGAGTGTGTGATTGCAGGAGCCCCCTCATCCCGGGGGGACACCAGGGGCACACTGCCACCACCCCGAGCTCCCCGGGGGTGACACAATGGAACCCCCCCTCCCACCCCAGCCCCTTTTTGCAGGGCCCAAAAAGCGACTGCAAGAACTGTCATGCAAACATGCCGTGTGGCAGCCCCGCATGCCGCTCCCGCCTGGCCGCTCCATCCTTCTCTTCGCTCCTTTGGGCAGCGGGGCTGGCGGGGTGGGCCAGAGAGCGTTTCCCAAATGTTCTGAGAGCCTCGTGCGAAGCCCGGGGGGGGTTTTTTGGGGATGGTTTGCCCGTGGAGGCAGGCTGGGGGTGCCAAGGGGAGCTGCTGGCTCTGTTGCAGGCTCGTCACGGGGCCCCAGCCCCCTGACCATGGGGGCACAGGACACCCTGCCCGTGGCCGCCGCCTTCACCGAGACCGTCAACGCCTACTTCAAAGGGGCTGACCCCAACAAGTAGGTGCTGACCCCCGGGGGGGGGCCCTGCCACGACCCCCGGGGCTGTCCCCACGCTGGGGACGGGTGGGAGGTGACCAGGGATGTCAGGGATGAGGAGGGGGGCTGAGGCCTTCCTCTGGCTCTGGGTCAGGGGGATTTCCAGATGCCTTCTGTCCCACCTGGGGCGCCAGAAATGGATGTCTTGTTCAGGCTGCCCTAGAGCAGAAACCACGCAGAATTAAAAAATAAAGCAGGGATTTATCCAAAGGATCTCCTCCACCTTGGGCAGCACCAGAGCCCAGCCAGGGCTGCACCCAAATGACCCAAAATGGTCCCAAAATGCACGAGCGCTCCCGGGGCTCTCCCTGGGATCAGTTCTGCTCCATTGGCACCTTGGAGTTCATTGTCCCATTCCAGCTCCAGCCCATCAGTCCCACCCTGCTTGTTTTTCTCTCTCCAGCCCACGCTGTTTGTGCTCCTGGGCTGAGGTTTGGATCATTTGTCCTTGGTGCCCAGCTGGAAAAGGAATTGTTTTGTCTCTGCTCTGTGCAGAGAGCTCAGCATCCCCTGATGTGAAGCTCATAATTTCACACTAAAGCAGCTCAGAATGTGAAAATATAAAAGCCAAAACCTGAGGACAGGAGGTGGCATGGCCTGTGGTGCCCAGGAGCAGGGTGCTGCTGCAGTGCCCCGTTTCAAAATGTTTCTGCTGTAGGAAAGGGGGGTGAGGACTTTGTGGGAGCAATCTCAGAGCAGCACAGGGAGGGTGGCAGGGGGGTGCAGCCTTCCCCTCCCGTGCCTGGCCAAGATGGGATGGCATTCCAACAGAAACTTGGAGGGTTTTCCCACCTTTGTTCTCAGGCCCCCTAATAGATAAAACCCAAAAGGGCAGAGCGAAGACAAATTAATTTCACTGAAATACCGAATAGCTGAAAGACAGCAAAAACAGGGAGCCTCAAACAGGGTTTATTGGAGAATATCCCTGTCAGCCCCTGTGCTGTCTG